TCATCCCATCTCTATCCACTATTTTCATTTCACTAATCTTTTACTAATTCTTAAAATTTAATACTAATGTCATTTTATTGGCATCGATTTCACTCTATATTATTGGTGTCGATTTGACAAATATAAACTTTTTTAAATTTTGAGTGACTCATTTTTATTTCTAGATCCATTCAAACATTTCTCATAAAATTATTTTTTAATCAACTTTCCTATGCAATCTTCATTTCTTATTTGAGTTGTCAAGAAAATATTGGATTTCAAAAAAGTTCATCCTCCAAGTGGTTAAATTCGTTGGGAGGGTTAGAAGAAGATAATGTAAATATTATAGTGAAGTTTCTTCTTTTGACTTAAAAATTATTGAGTAGTGAAGAAGAAGAAAAGAAAGTATTGAAGGTTGGAACAATGGTGAACAACAAGGAAGAAGAAAGAGAGGGATGGGTTAAGCATGTATAAATTAATCAATTGATATAATTAATTTTTAAAAATGTTCAAGAAAAAATAGTGAATAAGTAAAAAAGAAAGAGAAAAGACATAAAATTACCATTGAAGTTGTCTCGAATTTTTAAAAAGACACCTTAACTTTGCAACTGTCCTATTACCCCATTAAACAATTTTGAATAGATATAATTACATCATTTTTCATCTATCTGACATAGAGAGTGGTGTGCATTCTCTCTAAGAGAGTGAACAGCCTAAAATAACTAATATAATTTTATTTTTACAATCATTTTATTATAAAATATATTTTCTTATTTTTCTTATTATTTTAACTTTTTTTTCTTTTTCTTTTTTCTCTTTCTTTCTTCTTTCTTTTCAAAAATTCATTGTCACCTCCATTCATTGAAGAATCTTACTTTCAATGTCACCATTTTTATCACAATTTCACCTTCCTTTTTTTATTACTACTACTAGTTTTAGGGCCCGTTTGGATGGGCTTAATTAAAAGCAGCTTTAAAAAAGTACTTTTGAAAGTGCTGAAACTTATTTTTAAAATAAGCAGTTATGCGTTTGGATAAAAGTGCTGAAGTTAAAAAAAAGTTGTTGATGTGTTTGGCAAATAAGTGCTGATAAACAGCTTTTTAAATCAAAATGTCTGAAATACTCTTAAAAGTTGTTAACATAATAAAAGTTAATTAATTTATATTTTACAGCCATAAATAATTATATATTGCTATCATTCACATATTTCTTTCTCATCACAAATTATTTATAAGAGGAATATAAACTTATTATAGATTTTAAAGATATATAATTTGAATAGATTAAAGAACGATTTAAGATTTTATTTTAGTTTCATCCATAGGTAATAATAATTGTCTATCATTCACATATTTCTTTATTATCACAAATTATTTATAAGAGGAATATAAATTTTTATTTAAGTTATATGTGCAACTTATTTTACATTTTAATAATATATAATTTGAATAGATCACTTGAAAGATTTAAGATTTATTTTATTTTCATTCATTAGTAATAGTATTGCTATCATCCACACGTGAAAAGGGAAAAAATAGAAGAAAGAGATGTTAGGATAATGTGGGTAATTTGGAGATTGTATAAAAATATTAAGGGCAAAAAGGTAAAAATGTGGTCAACTTAAAACAGCTTATAAGCTGGGGGGAAAAAAAGCACCCCTACCCCAGCTTTTAACTTTTGGCTTAAAATTAGTTTTTTTAACTTAAAATAAGTTGTTTTGAGTATTGCCAAACAGGTAAATAAGTCAAAAACCAGCTTTTAAGTCAGTTTGACCAGCTTTTAAGCTGAGCCAAACAGACTCTTACTCTCTTTAGTTTTTAAAATTTTATCTAAATATTTCTTACATTTCGAACAATTCGATAAATTCATTAGATTTCAAGATGATTATGAAGTATCATATATTTTTTTTATTCGATTTCAATTAAGCTCTTTCAATTTTTGAGAAATTAATTGATTCTTTTAAAATTAGCATTTCTAATATATATGAAAAATGAATAGTTGATGGTACCTTCAAAATTTTAAATTTTCTTAAAAAATAATTAATTTTGTTATCAATAATTCAATAAAGTCTAAATAATAGTATGAATTTTATAAAGAATTTGACCGGAGAAGAAGAATAAAAAAAAAAAGAAGTGAGTTTCAACTTGACATGGGGGGTGGGAGGTGAAGAAAAAAAAGAAATGAATAGATTAATCACTTGTGGGAGATGGAAAATGAAATAAAATTTAAGATATATCAAAATTAAAAATCAAAAAGTAAGAGAGAGAGAGAGAGAAATCAAGAAGAAGAAAAAAAGATAAAGGAAAAAATTTAAAATTTAAAAAAAATATTTTTAATTAAATTAACACATGTCATGTAATGATTGTGGTGTGAATTCACTTGCTTCTTAAGATTTGGGGCTGATCGAAAAATGGTATAATAATATATGTTCAAAATTATTTAGTGGGGTAATATGACAGTTGCAAAGTTAAGGTGTATTTATGAAAATCTGAGACAACTTCAATGGTTATTTTATGTCTTTTCTCAAAAAGAAATAAAAATTAATGACATGGTGGTTACATGGTTATGATATGGCGCTTATGTGGCTATGATATGGCGAAAGAGAGTGGTGTTTATAGTCTCAATGAAAAAAAATCACTTCAAAGATGTTAAGAAGGTATTTAAACGGTCGTGTAATTTAAGTATTAAAATAAATTATTTAATTAAGTTCAAAGTTTTTTTATGTATTTCCTCTTAAAATAAACCCTCATGCAACTATGACATGGTATGCCTCAAACACCATAAATTTTTTCTCCACTTACTCCTCTCTTTTTTTCATTTGCTTATTCTTTTTATTTCTTACAAATATCCAGCACTCGAATATATATTATATAAGTTGTTGATATACTTAATAAAAATATTAATAAATAATTTTTTCGTCAAAATAACTGAAAACGTTTTTGACTGACTATTAAAGAATATTCTTGTTATCCACCATTTTTAATAAAATTAAACTAACTTTAAAAAATCCAGTATTTTCAATTACTAGCATTTAAGAAAAATCAAATTAACTCAAATTTGTTATTTCATAGCTTTTTATGTTCAATTTTAGTTCATATATCTGCAGTCCATTTTTCAACAGAGATTATCAATATTTTTATATAAAAAAGTAGTAATATTTTTTAAATACTTGTTATATATGGTAAGTGAATGTGATCTAATAAAAAACACTGATAAAAAATATTGTAAGTGAATGTGAATTCTGCGTATATTTTAAAATTGTTTATGAATTCATCGCACCAGCGTTGTTTTGCCCAGATGTCATTTTTATTTTGACATCCAAGAAAATAAATTATATCAACTAAAATTGATCTTATCTAATTAGATTATATGTTAAGTAAATTAGTTTGTGTTTAGAATCAATTTGATTCTGCGAAAGAATATTGAACAATAACCTTATTTTTAAAGCTAACCGTTTTAACAGTGTTTCAACTATTTTAACTGAAAATGTATTTAGTCAAATTTATTAATTATTTAATTGTATATTTGAAATCTGGATGGTTGTTAGAAGTAAAAGAAAATAAGAAAATAAAATATAAAAGAGAAAAAATAAGGTTAAGTGGAAGAGAAGTAGTGGCCGAAAGCGAAATTTCAATTCGCGGTTTAAAATATATATAAATTTTATATACGTATTTATTCAATAGTATTTTTCTTACACTATTTAGATGAAAATTGTCAGTATATAATATTATTTTTTCAGTTATTAGTTTTAGTAAGATTTTATCAACTCAACATTGAAAAACGTCATTTATGTGAGACAATTATTATATTTATTGTTAACATAATGCCATAAGTAATAAGTTGACAAATATTAAATAAAGATAAGAGTTAGAATTATAGAATTTGACTCAAGAAGTTGATGATTGGTATACCTTATTTTAATACAAGATAGTTTTACCCGTACTTGTAGTCTTATTAAAGATCTAATATCGTAAAAATTGAAAATAATATAATATTTTTACATGAAATTTAAAAAATATAAAGATAATGATTATACACGATTAAATCACGTATAAATTCAAAATCTATTGATTGTCGCATAGTATAGAGTCGTTAAATGTGTCTAATAAATTCAAAATCTATTAGATATTGAAGTACGGTATCTACATAGTTAATATATGAGAATACAATTACATTTAGATATTTATTTATATAATAAATAATTTATCTGTCTTTAATTACTTGTTCACATTTTCATTTTAAATGTTCCTAATTATTTGTCCATCTTGACAAATCAAAAAATGATTTTAAAAAATTCATACTTGTTATACCCACAATTAATTACTTCTAAAAAGGTAGAAGTTCTTGAATATCTTATATTTTTAACTGATCCACTTCATAATTAATAGAGATAAAAGAGTAAATCACTAATTATTGTTTTCATATGTATGTCAATTCAAAGGTGGACAAGTAATTAGAAACAAAAGGAGTAATTATAAATGAGCAATAGCAAATGCATCACTAATGGTGCAATCAATTTTTTTCTGGACAACCATTGATTTTGATTAGAAATAGGGAATAACAATAGAATGGTGCGGAGAGAGTATGGGGTGGGTGTAAGATTATACAGAGCAGCACATTCTCGAGAGTTCAAGGTGAGTGCGACTCTCCTCCCTCCTTGTATGATAAAAATCATATATAACACACAAGTTTTCTCGTCTATAATTAAAGTTTATTAGTATTAATAGATCAACAGGAAAATATACTCTATGCTAAATTGATTGTTTTTGATAATTCCAGTGAGTCATTGTTCACAAAGTTGAATCATGAAAACTGAATAGTATTAAATATTTATATATCAAAATTTATGTGAAAGAAAAAAAAGTCAAGGAATAAATTAAAACATAATTTCTTTGTTTGAGGTTTGGATGCGAAGATATATAATGTGATGTTGTATATTTAAGTCTCTAAAGCATACCAAAATCAAGTTTGAATAGGAGTGAGGTGTAATAATACTTAAGTATGGCATTCATCCCTCATCAAGATATAAAATAATAATTTCTTTAAAAATGTGATGAAACCCAACATACAAGATGTAACAAACCCGATAACAAGACCAACACAATTCAACTTCAAACAACCGACAAATCTGTTTCACTAACTCGTAATTAGAATTACAAAGGAATTTAAAAAACTAAATAGAAATTGAAGAACACAAGTAAAAGAAAGGGGATTAGAAGTAGAACTCATAGAAGGGGATGAGAGGGTAGACATTTTTCTAAACAATTTGCATAACCCTCTTTTGCTCTCACTATTCTTTATTTATCAACTCAAATCCCGTACATGAACACTTAATTCGGTGCTGGGCCGCTTTGTCAATACTTGTCTAGGCTCCATAACAAGATTAATTACTAAAGCTTGCATTCATCCATTGGTAAGCCAAGGTCCTATATTTCTGGGTAGATGCACACATTTTTTGAAGAGTCGTGCCCCATCCCATGGGCATACGACCTGACAGACCTTTCCTTAATCTGACAATAAAATTGAATTGTATTTCTTTCTCCCACCCAACGACTGCCTAGCAAAATGAATCAGTCTCTTGGGATTTATATAGCAGAAGATTAAGAAGAAGAAAGGTACTAGTAATAGTACACTTAGTATTAACAAGTAAATACTCAATTTAGATCTTAAATGAAGCCCTCACTCATATTAAGCAATTTGATTGACAATTATCTTTATATCTCATCACAACATGCTATTTTTTTCTAAGTCAAAAAATACCTTGCTATTATTTTCCGTATATTTATATAGGACTAAGCTAAATCACGTATTCAACTAGATGATCAAGACAAAGTGTTATATCATAAGAAAATCATTGAAAAGTCAATTCTAGCTACTAAAATAAAGAAATAACCTTACGAGTATTTCAATATATTTCAAACAAAGGATATGTAGTGCTTTTGAATCCAGTGTAGTGTCTTACTTCCTACTTGTAATGCTACTTTTCTTTTTTACCTAGATGTTCACTTTTTAAAATCAAGTGCTTTTATCCTAAGGTAATTAATTCCACATAATCCAATTATATTGATTGTGTTTTGGCATGTGTTGAAGGTAAGTCGTATAATTATTTTAGATCAACACTTTGGTTTTAGATAACTGAAATATGCATATTTTTGCTGACATGTTTGTCATAATTTGAGATAAGAATTTTATAATGAGAATATGAGGGTAGTTATACTTTATGAATGATGTAAGCTTCTCAAGATATGCTGATATTCATCTTTCTTATCACTTTATCAGATGGAGGAAAAACTGTTTTTAGTACCACCAACCATTAGAAAAATTGGCCACATAGGTTGATTGGACATGCTATACTTTCTTCATAAATTGAAAATTCAAAATTCGACTAAGGTGTTCCCCAATTTATCAACTAAGGTGAGTACATGCATTCCTTCATTTCTTACATGCTAGCTTTGGTGTGAAATACAAAAGCATTTGAAACAACACAAAGATAGCTAATTTCTCAAACTAATACATTAATCAACTTCAACTGATCAATTAATCAAATTATAAATTCTGAAGGAGAAAAAAAACAACAATTACCTAAAACAGTGAATCATTAAGTGCGAAACGGATGAAAATAAGTAAGAACAACAATTAGTCTAACTTACTTCAGAGTTCCCTCATTTCTTTCATTCAACAATAACTTGATCGTCAGTGACATCACAATTCAATATTTCTAAGTCGTAATATTTTGTATCCAACTCTAGATAAGAGTATATTAGTTGTCACCACATGATGAAAAAATTTACAAAACATAAACCTTAGAAGCAGAATAAGAAAGACAGAGAAAAATAGGCAAAACAAAAAATAAGAGATACATTCTAAACTCAAAAATGCACATATTAACGATGACGATGGTAGATGGAGAAGGATTGATAGGTCGAATGGAAGTAAGGTAAAGAGTTAAGAGGAGGTAGAAGGGAAAGATTTAAGCCACGTATGGCAAATGATGGTGCTAATTAGTCTGATCAGATACTAATAACTCTTTAATCATTTTAAGTTAGTCAACAAATTCATATCATGATGATCCAATTGTTAATAGAGGACAAATCAAGGCCATTTTGCCTAGTTCTAAAGAAAAGTAGATCAATTTTGCAATATAAAAGAAAATCATGTTCATTAAAGTAAAAGAAAAATGTGGACAAATCTTCATCATCTAATGCCAAAGACTTCTCCTCATGCCACTGTTCTTGAGGCAAAAGCTCAACTGTCACTATATCATCATTAAAAGTCATATTCATGTCTGCACACCCGTATATAATTATTTCATCGCCAATGCTTCAAATAGATTAAAACAGTTATCACGAAGTTTTCCTGATGAAGAAATCCCCGAAGCAAGCTAAAAGTAAAATCTGACATGGAATTGTGCTATAGAAAACATGAACAACAAGTGTAATTTAGAAGGTCATAGCCTTAAAAACATAACCCAAAAAGATCTCCTAAAAAACTATATCAAGCAATTAAATATACCTCATTATAAATGACAATTCGCTTTGAAGTCCTCAAATCCTCAAAATTATCCATATTAACATCTTCAGAAGGAGGTTATATTATTAGGTCAAGTAATGATTTTACAAACACACAACTGAGATCAATGAAAGTAAATCCGTTAAGATTGCTGATTTTTTTAACTAAGTAGAAACTAAAGAAAATAACTTTATACACAATACGACTAAAGAGAACTTTTATGAACATTAACAGAACCTGGTAGACGGTGGTCAAATCAATACACCATAGTATCATAATATTATCATTAAACAACAAGAAGATAAAATTACCTGTCTCTGCCGAAATTCCCTCTTCAGTCTCCTCCTTCTCTCTATAGTAATTTATTTACAATTCATATTACCTGTAGGTGAGTAATGCATTTGTAAACTTGAACTTTATGTCGATAAAAAAATCGGTAAGAGCTTTATTTGAAGTTATTTGTTTACATCGTATGAGAAATGGACCAGTAACTTTAAAGACACATTTTTCTCCGTACGAATATTCCTGAAGTGCCTTAACCTTTTAAAACTCCTAATTAAAGAAGAGAAAAGATTTTGAAACAAAGCGCATGCAGGATAATGAGCTCAAATATCAAACCATAAAAGAAACTAAGCAATCTACCAATTTTCGGTGTAACTAAGCATACAGAACAAAGAAGTCCCTAGTTTACCTATTACACTCCAAAGCATTCGTCTCTTCACCTCGAGTAAATTCGACTTCCAAAATTTTGTAAGGTTCAAATTATATGGCTATTATATTACAACTCAATAAAGCACAAATGCCGGCAATTTTTTCCTAAAATACATAGATCTATATAGCAGAGCATGAATATGAATATGAAAGTTGAAGCACAAGTACAATTTTCTGTTATAACTAAGTGTATAAAATACAACCGTCCAGAATTTATCTCTTAAACAAGAATATTAGATAACATAGACATTAAAATTCCACAAGGCAAAGTACATTGAGATGAAAATAATGCCATGGTATCAAAGTAAAGGAAGCTATTTACCAAAAATTAAATTAAAGAAGATAACACATCATTTAAAGAAAAAACAAATCACCAAATCATTTTAAGAATTAATGTCTCTGCAAAACATTCTGATTATAAAATCTCAAAATTCTCTTTTTTGGGATAAAGAGATATGGAACTTTTTTTTTGAAGAAGAACATATTATTATTATTTTTGATAAAGAAGAACAAATATTGTTGCTTCCTAAAATAGTACAAAGAGATAAATAAGCAACAAACACTTACCAGTTATTGGAAATTCCCTTTGTCCTATAAAGAGACTCGTACTGATGATATAGAATGAAGAATGGTACAATGATGAAGAAGATGGATGTTTGTAGACCTAGCTAGAATTGTAATGGTAATGAGTAAAGTCAAGATATCATTAGCTATGAAATTACCTTTATGCCCATAATTGTCCATACATGCTTTTCAAAATATCTGGCCCAATGTTAGTAGTAAAATTACTATTATGCCCTTGGTCGTCCATGTGATTGCTCTTCTATATAGTAAAAAGTAGTATCTGGCCACAATGTTAGCTATGAAATTACCTTTATGCCCATACTTGCTTTTCAAAATATCTGGCCCAGTGTTAGTAGTAAAATTATTATTATGCCCTTGATCATCCATGTGATGTCTCTTCTATATAGTACTAGATACGGTTAGCCTGTGCTACGCACACGCCCAACATTTATATTTTGCAATATTTTTGATAACTCCTTCAGTTTCACTTCTCTAATTTTCTTCATCATACCGCTTTTCAAACAACTTATAAACTTTATTTTTGAATAAAACTAAAAAAATATGAGCAAGAATATAAAAAGCTTGAGACTAATTAGTTCTATTGGTATATAATTTACTATTTGCTGAAGCAACAATAAATTGTAAAATAAGAAGTTAAAGCAAAAAAATCACAAGCTTCCACTAAAATTTCTTAACATATTTTTTTGTTACATAATTGTAACTTCATTGGTTCTTCCGGTAGTTATTTGATCTTCATATAAAACAAGATATTCAACTCAAATTTCTTAACATATTTTTTTGTTTCAGCAATCCCTGCATAATATATATTTCATAGAAACTTCAGTTAGTTTCAAGCTATAACTTCATATAATTATCAGTATTTCGACAGAGCAATAGTTTCTAAAAGTAAAAAGACAGTGGATTGTTTCCCTTCCTGATCTTCTCTGTAGAACATTTTATTGTAGATTACCTCATGTTAAACAGATTAAAAGGCTACTAACCATGTGAAACAAGCAACCTCATTTCCTGCTAGAAATCCTTCACACTATTATCTCCTTTATCTGAATTAATTTATAAGCATCATATTAAGCCCGTGGTATTTACAATAACATATTATCAATGGATATAAGTGCAGGCTACTTGAAACAAAAGGCCTACTATTTAAGTAGAGTAGGATAATTTAATAATAGTCTTCAAGATTTACTTCTAATATTAAATATCAAAGAACATTATCGTTGTAAACATGATTTTGACCGGCAATTACCTGAAAGGCAGCAACAAAAGCTCTTATTTAGTGTGATGTTAGATGAATGAGTTATGGTAAAAACAGAGTGTCACCTTAAATAACATATTAAAGTCTAACCTCAAGTAAATATCCATCAATATAAATGCATGCATGTAAATATCCATCAATATAAATGCATAATGCATTGAAATTATATAAATGTTAAATTGAACAAGACTATCCCATATAAAGATATACATTATACAAAACTCTTAACTGAATCTTTTTTTAAAAAAAATAAAAATTCATTAGCAAATGCATTGAAATTACTTACAATTAAAAGAAAAAAGATATTCATTAGTGAGGTATCAAACATTTTACAATGTTCCAAAACATAACTTAAGAGAAGAAAAATGAAAAGACAGCCGATGTAGCCTAGTAATAATAAAAGTATAAGAAATAATATATTTAACACTCCGTTGAAATTATATGATACCATTTCTCGGGGCCTTGCACCTGATCCAAGTAAGCATCAGATGTGACATACCTCAATGAAATATACTTGTATCTTGATTCTAAGATATGATTTGATATCGAACATGCTAAAGCGAAATCGTTATTTTAAGTTGAATTCGCATGACCGCATTTAAAAAATCATAGAGCGTAATGAAAGAAGGCAACACAAGCATCTTATTTATATATTACATTCTATTATTCTAAGCCAATTGAATGTTGTGCAAATCCAACCATCTAACAAGGCATCTTTTGATATTCTAAGAAACACGATGAGGCAATCATGGATCTCCTCTGAATGAAACAAAAGAAAATTAAAAGCACAACAAAAACTGAAAAGCATGGGGATATATCAAGAGAAAAAAGATATGCAAATATTACCTTTAATAATGTAATCACCGATTGATCATCAAATATATCAACACTACAATCATCTAAACAGTTAAACCCGCAAATGGGAGTAAACAAGTAAAACATTGCATAAAGATTCTCAAGTATACCTAATTTTAAATGACATACATCTCAATTGCCGTAGGATTGAACTCCTCATCAAGTACCCTTTTTAGTGACAATGAATAAGAATCAAATCATTTTTTAGATGCTACAAATTATACTATATAATACTGATTAAGGGGTAGAGTCGTACAAATTCATCCATGCACTAAATTACTTGCAATTAACTCTTGAACTCACTATTGAAATAATTTAGAAAAAGGAGGAAAACAACATTTGCTCATAATGCAATAAAATAAAACTCAAAAGTAATATCAAAATTAAAATCAAAATACGAAGATAAAATAACTCAAAGAAAAGAACACCCCCTGAGCTGATCGAGCAACTGATTTGGGCAAAAATCGATATAAAAGTTAAGACATGAAACGGAAAACACCAGCTTGAGAAGTTTTTGTAAGTATTTTTTTAAAAATTGGTACTAAAACAGGTTGGTGAAATGGAGATATTTAAAGACACATCCATTTGGAGGAATAAAACATACCTAAAATGAAGATGAAGAGAATTTGAAGGAAATACATATATATGCACAAAGGTTCCACCCAATTCTCTTCCTGCAGTGATAGTGTGGAATATTTATAAAGAAGAATGGATGGTTCTAGAGTAATGCAGAGAGTGTATTTGTTAGTCTCTATTTACATTTTTACCCTTTGTATTTCTACATAGTAAAAAAACAAATGGATGGTTCTAGAGTTAGGCAGAGAGTGTACTACCTTTGATATTTCCACGTAGCAACAAAACGACAAAATGTATCTGAAATGAGAAAGGATAGTTTATGATTTGCTTAAAAAATAATTATATTTTACCCTTGACAATGAGTATATTTACATTATTACCAGTGGTCGTCCATCTTGTTGGCTCTTCTATAATATAGTAATAAGTAATAAAAATAGTAATATGTTTGTAGTAATGCTTGAAACTAAAATTTTAAAAAAATTGTAATAAACTTTTTTTTACATTTTTCACTATTAGTTCTTATTTTTTATAAAATAAAAAAGAGGTTAAAGAGGATAAGATATTATATTTTTTAAAATTCTACTTTTTCATAAATAATCAATTTTTTCATAAAATTTAACACATAAGTTATTTTTGACAAAAATTTAGGAGCCTAAGGCAAAGGCCTTATTTTCAATAGCATAGAGCCGACCCTGGAAGTAGTGAATAACATGTAAAACGTAAAAAAATGGCTCACTATCAGTCCTGCTCACTATCCAAGTGTCAAAAGAAGAATGGAGACTCAGATTGTTAGTTGTGCCTCTACCATTGTAATTTTTTTCTAAAAGATTCAAGAAGAGGCCGAGTCTATTACTATTGATATCCGAACAACAACAATAAGGATGAGGTCGCGAACAAGGGGGAGGACTCAAAGATGAAGCAAAATAATTCCTTTTTGTGCTTGAAATTTCCACCAGTATTTGTGTCAGAAAAACTAGATGCAGACAAAGGAGGGATTTTTAGTTAGGATTCGAAATTCACGTTAATTCTACTTCAAATGTATGTAATAATTATAATCCAATTATATCCCCCAAACACTACTAGCAGACATCCAACATTGCCTCTATCGTGTACTGATGCATATAAATTATTAATAGAAGTATTGAGTCGAGTTGGGTCTAGCGTTGCGATCATATTTCAATTTGAATGTTGGGTCCACTGCAAGGATATGTCGTGTTTGGTCTTAGGATTGTGTCCTTATTCGGGGCATGATCAGGGTCGGGTTTTAGTTAAATTATAGAGTCTTTTGTCGTGTGTAGCAATCGGGTGCTAGACCGGGTGTCGTGGTCAGGTGCCAGATCAGTTATCAGGGTTGATACATTGGGTTAGAAACTATTTTCTAAAAAGTATGTTCTAATATATAATAAAAAATAAAATATATTTTCTAAAAGATGTTTTTATTCACCAATCATACACTAGAATATATTTTTTTGGAAATAGTTCTTACTCACCAACCAAATATGAAAAAGTAAGAAACCAACTTATTTTCCAAGAAAACAACTTCCTTCATACCAAACACACCCTAAATCCCTTGCATTACTTACACCTAGAATTTCATGATATTAGTGATACACACCTTAATACACAATAGAGTCTATAACTAATGCATAGGTTCAAAGCAGGGGGCGAACCAGCTCTACGGTGGGGGTGCCACGGCACTTACGGGCCTCGATTTAAACTGTGTGTGTGCGCACGCGCGTGCGTGCGTGTAACAAGTCGTCGTATATACATAGTATTCCTGCCACCCAATGAACCATACGATGAATGGCGCAATTGGCAAAGGGTACATCTTTCCAATAGGGTGTCGAGGATTCAAATCTCCATGACAACACTATATATTTTTTTTATCCTGAGGGGCTTCAACTTCCTTTGTTTTTTCTTGTTCTTTCTTTTTTTGTCTTTGTTTTAGTCTCTCGTTCTCCTCAATTAGTTCCTTTTATTTGTTACTTCTTATTTATTTACTTATCTTTAATTGATACAAGTGTGGCATGATATTCTATATTAATTATAGATTAATATTAAAATTTCAATGTCATATAGGATATTAATAAAAAAATATTTAAATAGCCTTTTTCTAAAAATAAAAAATAAATTTAAATGATAGGATATAATCACGTTTAATCTTTTGAAATGTAAATGTTCTTTAAATCTTTAACCTCACACTAAGTGGAGATAATTGGACTGAAACTATAATTTTTATTTTTTTCTCAACTATATCATATTAGATGATGTACACAAATTTGAATTTTAAGGTGAAAATCTCTTGTTTTCTCAAAGTTATAGAGAATAAGGTCTCTTATTCCTAAACAAACATAAAAAAATACACTATATAGATGTATATCTTTAATATTTAAAAGAAAAAGAAACAGACTAAAGATGTATATTTGATCAATATATTTATAAATATCGAATAATTAAATAACCCGAATCATAATTTAAAATGAAGAATCGACCTGTTTACCATTTAGATGATATGACACCCTTAACTTTCGAGTCGTAAATCCGCCTCTGGTTGAAAGATACCAGACAAGGTACTATTAGTAGACAAAGTTAATATACACAGTATTACTCTTAATACAATCTACAAAACGATCTCTAAGGATTCATTTGATACAAAAAAAAATAAGAGATTACTATTTCCAAAAATAATTCTAAGATAAACTTTTTTCATATTCGATAGAAATAAAATCACAAAATTAATAATAGAATTTAATTTAATTTTTAGGTCCATTGGTGGACTCGATTTTATTAGTAATCATGAGCCAAAAGATGAGCCTTTTCCAAAAGAGTATTCCAAAAGTTTTTATTAATGAAATTAAAAATAGAATAATAATCTCAAAAGTAATTAATCCCAACAAAATGAGGTGTTAAAAGTGGACCCTAACTAACTCCTCTCCGTGTTGTACCAGATTTCATTATCGTTTTCATGTGCCCAAGTGGACCCACCTTTCCCTATCTTCCTAAATGATTAGAGTATCAGTGGACCCCAAAACTCCACGAGATCACCGCTCCTTCAAACAAAAGTGATAACTCTTTTCTCTCTCTCTATATATACACACATCTAATATTAATAATGTCCCATTTTACATTTCATTCATTTTTATAAATTGTTGATTTATAATACTTAAAAAATTATATAACTGTATTAAACATTTACATTAAATCAAAAAGCAATATCTTTATTAAGTGTTTAAATGAAGTAAAATTAATTATAAATTTAAATATATGAAATGTATATATTAATTTGGTGTATACATTTGATGTGATAGTTGTTATTTTATACAATGCATAAATTATTACATTTTTCCTTTTTTTAATCCTTTTAAGTTATTAGTTTTGAAAATATATATTTGACCAACTTAAAAAAATCAAGTAAATAATTTATGTTCTAATTTCAAAATAAGTTAATTCATATTCATTGATGGAAAACTCAAAAAAATTGAATAAAAATAAAAGAACAAAATTACTTTATTTCTAAATAAATATAAATTAAAAAATAACATATAAAATAGAACGCAAAAAAGTAATAAATTATGAGCGAATTTAATAATAGTATTATCTTATATCGATATTGGTCATGAAAAAATTAGTGACATATGTATCAGTTGTTCAAGTTTGGATAAAAAAAGACATTTCTTAAATAACACGTACCAAAATGGAATCTCCCTAATAATGCGTACCAAAATGAATATTTCGTCCACAAATAAGTGAGTTATTTCAAACAGCGTTGAATACAACACAAATATTTTAAGATAGTTCGCTCGTAAATATATAAATTATAATTTTTATTTTTAGCTTTTTATGTGAAGAATATCTTTTTTTTAAAAAAATTATATATATATATATTTATTCACTTCATATTTTTTCCTTTATGTTTTATCCTCTTTACTAATATTATATTTTGATCTTTTAAAATTGATAGTCATATTTCAAAAAATTAAGAAAATCTGTATATTCAATTGAGTGGGAGGTACATAAATGTAAATACTGTTTGTATAAGATAAAAATATCAACGACTTCAAGTAAATCTAGTCGTAAGTTTTGAATTTGCGTAATATTTTGGAGTGAAACAGACATAGTTAGCGTTATTCGGTATAATTCATACATTTATTGATAAAATGTTTGTTTTGATCGGTGTTTTAAGGGAGGATTTCTTTTTTGATATGAAATATTCAAAAAGTGTCTATTTTGATGTCAAACTCTTAATTACTCTATATTTATATTAGTTGTGTAAAATTTTAAATTATTTTTATATAAAAATAATTTATTTTTTATCTACTTATTAAATATCAATCACATAAATTAATATGTAATTTAATTTATTTCTCAATCAACTAATCAAACTATGGTAATATAAGAATAATTATTATTCTAAAGTTGGATAAAAAATAAAAATATATTGAAGGCATGAAAAGTAAACTTTAGGGGAGTAAATATAAGATTTCAAAATTGAATAAAAGAAATAAATAAAAAATTTTATAATATCATATTAAAACGAGTAACAAGTAGAAATGGACGGAGATAGAAAAATTTAAAGAAGGTAACATGGGTTGGACTTTGAAAGGAGTATAATTTACTACTCCATTACTTAAATCCACCGCTAAAACCTCCTCTTCCTACATTGGGGCTCTACTGTCTGAATCTCCCGCAGATATCGCCTCAAAATGCAAGATCCGTCCAATCCAAACTCCAAGCAGCTCAATCAGACGCCACCATTTTCCGCTACATTCAGGCCATCGCACCACCGCAGAGCTCACTCCGAGGTGAACTTCCGGCTGCCTGAGGATCTAGATCTGGTATCTGACCCATTCGATGCGTCTGCCGGAAGTTTTGAGGAGATCGGATCCGAGGATGATTTCTTCTCCACTTACATGGACATTGAAAAACTAGGCTCTGGATCCAACCCTACAGATGTTCCAGGGTTCAACAATGCCGGCGCTGGAAGTAGTGGACTGGTAGCTGACTGTGGTGATGGAGAAAGGAATTTCACCAGGCCTCGACACAGGCATAGCAATTCAGTGGATAGTTCCAGCTTGTTATTAAGTGAGAGTATTGAAGCTAAGAAAGCTATGGCTCCTGATAAGCTTGCTGAACTTTGGACCATTGATCCAAAACGCGCCAAAAGGTAGAATACTTCTACAGCTTTGACTCTTCAATTAGTTCAAATCGTTGAATTGTGAACGGTGATTTGGTGCTGAGGCTTTCCAAATACTTAAAACGTCTAATAGAATACACGTATTGAAGAAAATTCAGAGTTAAGGGAACTCTTGAAGTAGATCTACTTGACTCTATATCATGATTTAGTCCTCCATTGATTCTTTTCCTTTAAAAATGATTTACATTCAAAACAGCGTTTAACTAATCACAATATGCTTCTCTTTTTTGGAGATCCGAACATTTCTTACCTTTTAAAACTGATCTGCATTCCTTTGGTGTCAATGCACTAGTTGTTTGCTGTATAGTCATGTGAACTTGGAATATATATGAATTCATGGTATACAACATTAGAGACTATGTCAAATTGAGATGGAGACCTAGTGATTTAAAAGGAAAACTGCATTTCTGTAGAAGCGAATTCAAGACAAGTTCTAAAGCAAACTAACAGTAGGATGTCAAAGATCTATATGTGAAAGTCCTCATGCCAAGAAATGGTGTGTCGAAGCAGCAAAATGCTTTGTTAGATCTGTGGCGTTTTCATTCCAAAGTTCCTAATGCGTGTTGACATGAAAATTTTCCAGAACAGAGGTCAAAACAGTTATTTTAATTTTTAATCAGAAATTAAGTGTTGATCGTTTCTCATTTTTTTCCTACTACCAGTCTGCATGCTATATATTTTATTAAGGTTTTGTTTAGGAACTTTAACTATTAGATCGGATTTGTTTTGAACCATCTCATGAAAAGAGATTCTTCTGTCTTGTTTAGAGGTAGTTCTTACTTCGTACTATATTTGAGTTTGATCCATCTCATCAAAAGAGATTCTTCTGTCTCGTTCCGAAGTAGTTCTGTTCTTACTTTCAGTGTATTTGGGTTAAACTGAAATGGAGCTTAAGCTTTACTTAATAGAGTTTAGTGAAAAATGTAGTCTAATAGAGTCATGTACTGTCTGTAAGAAGACTAGTACGTCCTAATGAAGTCAATGTGATTGTTATTCTGGACTAGACAAGCAATTGGTTAGGTCTACAACTGGATTGAGTCTCTTTTGAGGTAACCTGCATATGGGTATTTCTGAACTTGAGTAGCTTCCACGAATCCTGCTTTGTGAGTTTCTTAACACTAATGAAGTATCTTCTTGATGCTCTAGCTATACAATCTTACTTCATCAAAAAATAAATAACACTACTGAAGTATGAGATCATTGTTGTTTAGTCCATGAAAAATGTCAATGTTCTTGTAAAATTAACATAGTTTTAGCAAGCTCTAGTGAGCTTCGTTTGTCCCTTGTGATGTTTACACTTGGGATACATTCTTTTGTTGAAGTGCTGCCATGTCCAAATTTAAGTGAACTGATGCTGTGTTCAAGTTCATTGTTTGATGAAGTGCTGTGTTCAAGTTCATCTTTTGATGAAGTGTCGTGTTCAAGTTCATTTTTTATGAAGTGTCGTGTTCAAGTTCATTTTTTATGAAGTGTCGTGTTCAAGTTCATTTTTTGATGAGGTGCAGTGTTCAAGTTCATTTTTTGATGAAGTGCCGTGTTCAAGTTCATTCAATTCATTCCCTAGAATATTTGGCTTGTAAGATGGTCATCTATTAGGACCAAGAAATTAAAGTTCAAAAGGAAGATTCCCTTGGCTCAAATCAGGGACATTTATTAGGAGAGCATGATATTCCATGCCGAAATTTACTTGACTGCTCTAGTTTTGCATTCAACGCAATTTTGTTGTGATCCGAAAGTTTGGTTTGCTCATTTAGTATCACATTATTATTCCTCACCATAGCTTAAAGCTTGAATAGCTTACACCTGAGGCAAAACAATAGTCTTGGACATGTGATAATCCTCTGTTGTAGATTACACAGTTGGCAGTTATGATTTTGGAAACCGTAGAAATGACAACATTACATGGCATTTTGTCTGCTTTTTTGAAAAGCTCTCTAACCTCAGGATAGTGCTGAGTTTTATGATCTCTAATGAATTTGGGTAGCTGCTCGGAAAAGATCATTTTACTTTTTCGTTCTTTTAGTAAGCAAAAGGAGTTCATGTGTTAACTTGAGCTATTAATGGAAAAGAAAGAAGGCAAGTGACAAATTTCTCGTGTTAGTTCCAGTTAGCCAAGTGTTAAAATACATGTAGATTTTACTTCCAAATATAAAAGTAGGAAAGCTGCTTCATGGTATTACTCCCTCTGTCCGGTATTGTTTGTCATGGTTTCTATATTTAGAGTCTAACTATAGAAACTTAGATTAACATTTTAAGATGTATTTTTTCATCATATTAATATGCATGAAAATTGCAATATATAGTACTTTTCATATAATGTTAGAATATTTAATTTTTTTGTTTAAAATATCAAATTAATGTGATCTAATTCAACTTTGAAAATTAATTAAATTGACTTTCGAAAAGCGCCACATGGCAAACAATACCAGACGGAGGGAGTAATACTGTAGCCTCTTTGCATATTTCACTGGATAATGACATATTGTAAACACACTGTTTGACATTGGTAATGCCCTGAGAATGTGTGAGACTAGTTTCATGGTAGTAAGTTACAGAAGTTATCCTGGAAATTACCATCAACAAGTGATTTGTAGACAATTTCTCACTGTGAGAAATTAAGGTTAAGAAACTTCATTTTTGATAAAAGGTTAAAAGGGAAAAGGGCCAAATATATACATGAACTATTCAAAATTGATCAGTTTACCTCTGTTATGTTTTTGGCTCAAAAATGCTCTCACTGTTACCTTTTTTGCTCAAAAATTCCCTCTAGCTAGCATATAGCTCAGAAATACCCTTCTTTCTAACAGTTATTCTAAAACTAAGAAAAATGGGTCAATGTTCTTTTAATTTATTTATTTATTGGGGGTGGGGGGCTGGATGTGTGAGACCCATAATAACATAGACAAAAATTTAAACACTTCCTATTTTAATGAATAAAAACGATCTTATATCACTTTTTTCTTTCTTCTGGTTCCGTTTACAATAGGTGTGAGTTTTTATTTTTAAACATGATATCACATACCTTTTCTGACATAACTATTTAAAATTTATTTTCTCTACATTAATACTACTGAATTTATTTTACTAACTCTATGAATTATATGGTAAACAAAATGAAATTTAATTATACCTTGATACGTGTATTACTAATCATAACTTCAAGTCATCCCAAGTTCCAGTTGAGGGAAGTTATAATAGTTTTGACAGGAGAAGTAGAATAAATATTTAGTTGAAAATTAATGCAAGTAGTTAAACTTTGTATGAAATTGGCATTATATATAATTGTCATTATTAAGCTTATAATCTACAATATAAGTTTTTGCTCAAGTCTTCACAATTAAGAGCACTTTGTCCCAAACTTTAGATGGAGGGAAAAAACTGTCTTATTTTGCATAGTTCAAGGGCTAAATTGGATCATTTTTTTCTTGTTTGAAGCAACCATTGAGAAATAAATGTATTTTTGAACTATTTTGCTAGTTGGAGAGAATTTTTGAATAAAAATTGTAAGTAAAACTTACCCATTTTGATTAGTTAAGAGGTATATTTGACCCTTTTCCCAAAAGTTTATATCCTGTAGCAAATCGTCATGCCTCCTATTCAAGAACTGGTGCTGATTATGAAATTGAAGTAGCTTATTTTGTCGGGCAATTTATGCGCTACTATTTTGGAAAATAATTTTGAAGAAAACTATGTAGTTTGTTGGAACTACTAAAATGCCTCGTCTAAAGAAGCAGATTTCCAAAAGGAAAATATGTCTCTATTTTACTGCAAGCCGTTCCAGCACTTTGATGCATCTAAGCATGCACCACTTAACTCAAAATTAAAGTCATTGTACTACTGAGTGTGACGCACATACAACACCACGTTATGTTTCTGATTTTGAGAACATTGTACAGGATTTTGGCAAATCGGCAGTCTGCTTCTCGTTCGAAAGAGAGAAAGGCCCGTTACATTACTGAACTTGAGAGAAAGGTTCAGACCCTTCAAACAGAAGCAACCACTCTTTCTGCTCAATTAACCCTTTTCCAGGTACTTCTTCCTTGTCGATAACTTGCAATGTGTTATAAAAGTCATATGTTCATAAATCATGTTCTACTTCGTTAACAATGGGAATTATTGGTCTGTACACCATACCATATCCGCCATCTGCATAAAAAACCCTGATCAATGAATTTGACGATGAGAAATTGCCATCATCCATTATGTCTGAAAATTAGCCTTTTTTACACATAAGAACTAACTTCCTGCATTTAAATGATATTACCTTTCCTCAGTTACATGTGTAACAAAATAAGAGTCCCTTCCTCTGAATCAAGTATTCAATGCAATGGCAAGAATTCTCAAGTGTATTATACTAATATATTCAATAAACTGAATCTCATTGTGGGGAGGGGGCATATACTAAGGGGGAAAAAGGTACATGCCTCAAAAAGTAACAGAAGATGTTTCGAGATGTTGGTTAGCGAATTTCCTTTATCTCCCTCGCAATAATCGATACTTCACATCTGATAGTTCTTTCCTTCTGCAGCGGGATACAACCCAGTTTACTAATGAAAATACAGAGCTCAAGCTCCGTTTGCAAGCTATGGCACAACAAGCTCAGTTACGTGATGGTATGATTTATCTTGTCCATTGCCTTCCAGAATTTTATGTTTCTCGATCATTTTAACATCATCTTGAAACTTCTTCCACCTCTTGGTCGACAAGATAGATAGCGACACTGAGTCTACCGTTACTTTTCTAATTAAAAAATAGAAAGTCATAATGCTTGCTCTATCCCTGCAATTGAGATGATGACAATTTCAGATTATGTTGAATTTCATTTATCATGAGAAGAGTTATTAATGCTGTATATCTTTGTTATGGTGTTTGTATGATGCAGCTCTGAATGAAGCCCTGAAGCAGGAAGTGGAAAGACTTAAAATGGCCACAGGGGAAATGTCATCATCAGATGCATACAATTTGGGGATGCAGCACATTCCGTATAACCAATCAGCATTCTTTTCGCATCAGCCACAATCAGGGGCTAGCGAATCCCAGAACATACAGATGCAGCAATTTCATTCCCTCCAGGATAGCTTGTTGACTCCTCATCGCCGTTTACTTGCAGGGCATGGGCAGGGTCTCCCTGACACAATGCAACAGGATCCCCTAGGTCGTTTTCAAGGTCTGGATATTGGTGGCAGGGGTCTGCATCTTGTGAAAACTGAAACACCTTCAATTTCTGCCAGTGAGAGCAGCAGTACATTGTGATTGACTTGTGCAATCGGCCTTATTTATTGGAATTGTTCATAGACTGACACGTGTTTAACATCCAAAAACATGATATTCAATTTTTTTTTTTCCATTTGACTTCAGACTTAGGTTTCAGTAGCGGTTCCAGATGTTGTGATGTGTTGTTATTTTTTAGTTTGGTCAAAGTCTGAATCATTTCTTGTGATTTATTGGTGTAACTTTAAAGGAAGGTTGTTACCACTGCGTATTAAATGGTGTCTTTGAGTCTTTAAGGTGGCTTAGCTGAAAACTTCTTATTAGTTTTTCAACAAATTATATATTTTTTTTCTGCTTTGGAAATATTGTTTAATGCAGAACCAATGATCTTATGATTGATTGTCCCCTCAACTTTCAGGGTAACTGTTGTATGCCTACTGATACTATTCTGTTATAACTCCCCACTTCTAAGGCAGAAAATGGATAAGTTTTTTGGAGGTCATAATGTATGAGTTGGAGTAGAGCTAATATGGATAATGCACGGTTCCCTGTTCACTAGCTAGGTACAACTTTTGTCGCTAATTTTGAATTTTTAACGGGCTTTTTATCAAATCCCCTAGGTTATAGAAAGTTGACCTTGTTTCTTTCAACTCCAGTGAAAAAAAAATAAGATACTGTAGCAAGTACTATTCAATTGAGGAAATAAAAAAAAAAGAAAAGGGCAGGGCAGTGAATTAGAATATTAATATTTCACTTAGAAAGTTACTCATAAATTTAAATGATATTTTCACTAAATTTTGTTACAAAGTAGAAAATATGAATGATTGTTCCTTTTTTAATCCATCTTGTAACGTAAGCAGAAAGTTAGATGTTCAAAAGAGTAGAATGAGTTGCCTGTCATAGGTATGGCCGAAATTGGCTGATAACCCAAGAAAAAAGCAGCTACTTGATTTCTGGGTGAAATGCATGAGAAATAGATGTACCATATATTACTGAATATAGAAAGTTTTCATCATAAATAAGTGAAAACAAAAAAACTAACTATATGAGTGATAAACCACAGAAATGCACATGGCAGACGTCTTTTATATATATATATATATATATATATATATATATATATATATATATATATATATATCGCTATTAGTTGGTTCTTCGCTTTATAGATCAATAAGATTCCTTTGAGCTATATACATCATAAAATGATGTTGATTCCAATGCTAAGATTCAGTCCTATAGTCAGACATTCTACTAACTTCTTCTCACCTTACATATATATATATATGATCGATCGGTATAGTCATTTCAAATTTCTTATTATGACTTTTACTCTAACTAATGTCTCACAACCTTTATGGATTTCATGAATAGAATTATACTTCAATGTCATCGACAATATTCTAATTAAAGAGGTACTTCAGACTCTCAAGAAAATCCTTTACTCATCGTTCCAGTATCAAATGTTAGGGTGAAAAATCATTGAGATTCTGGATTGTCAAGTTAAATAAAGAACTAAAGAGGTAGTCTTAATTAAAATCTTATGAAGGAATCAATTAGTATACTTAAGTTTTGCCTATTACATATTCAGCTCCAATTTATGCTTCAACTTCACTACTTTCAAATATTAAAGAGATAAACGTCAAAAATATACCTAAACTATTGAAAATGTGAGTTTCATACCTAAACAAACACTTTTTAGTTTGAGAAACACACCTCAATGGTGTGTGTAGTGCACTCTCTTTTATATGGAAAAACTTTGACACATGACATTCTACATAGATAAAATATTTTATCCAGATAAAAATTAAACAATAAAAAATTAATATTAATAAAGAATTAAATATTACTATCCATATAAAAAATAAAATTATTTTCTTATCTCACTCCACCACCTCCTCCACGTATCCACCCTCCCCATAATAACCCCATCTTTTTTTTAAAAAAAAATCATCTATAAAATATTTTTAAAAATTTCATATTTCCTCCCCCTCCCCCGCAATAGAAATTGATATTATTTTATTTAAAAAAATCTACCCATTCTATATAATTTTCCGCTCCTAATTTTTAATTTTTTTTAAGTTTTTCTTATTTTGTGGTAGATATGCACGTACATATATTTTTAGAGAAAAAAATATCTACTAGTGTACCGAATATAACATAAACAACTAAAAAATATAAAAAGTCTTGTGGCGGTAAGTAAAAAATATTTTCGATATGTATATCTAAACACTGGGAAAAAAATTGAAAGCGGAGGGTTAAGTGAGATAAATAAAATTATATTTTTAAGAAAATAAAATAATATCTAAATTAGTATTTGATGATGGGGAGGAGATGAAGTAAAAAATGAAATACTTTTATAAAAGAAATTTAAACAAAATAAAAAACTTTAAAAGATGGAGTGGGGTATGAAAATTATTTTACATTTTATTTTATAAAGAAAATATTATTTTTTTATAATAGTTTTTTAATTTTTAATTTTAACTAATATTAATAATTTATTTATTTTTTGTAAAGGTTGAATATTTTGTCAATGTGGAGCGTGATGTGGAAATTCTTTAAAATAAAAGAGAGAGTGTATTACACATACCATGATGAGAGTGGTATAAAAGAGAGAGGTGTGTTTCTCAAATTAAAAAGCGATAGTTTAGGTATGAAACTCAAATTTTCAATAGTTTAGGTATGAAACTAAAAAAAAAGTATAACTTAAGTATGTTTTTGACATTTATATCAATATTAAATTATACGGTGGGCATGTCCAAAACATTTTTAATCTCCATCCTATGCTACATACCCTTTATGAAAGACTTTTGAATTCTGCGTTTTATACTATGTATATACATGATATCAAAATGTCATTTGCTGTTATGGTGCTAAACATGTCACATAACAAGATTTTTTTTTATTTTTCATCGGTGTTCGAAGCCCACATGGGTGTTCAAACTAATTCAGAGCGCACTTTAAAGGGTTCATTCGGATTGGTGCTCTCAACAAGATTTTCTCTATATCCAGAGCTCGAATCCGAGATCTCTGATTATGGGTGAAGCACTCCCACCAGTGCACCAAAATATAGAAAATAATATTTTTGAAATATTAGATCAAATTACCAATAATGAGAGTAAGATACAGTTGAAACTAAGAGAATAGGAATGATTAAGTTCTTGATCAATAAAAGTAACTCATACTTAATCGTAGTAACTAACAAAGTATTGTACTCATACATTATGTACACGGATAATATAAAAAATTTAAACCTGTTAGTACATTTTAACTCGTTATTAATAGGTAACATGTCTTTATTTCCAAATAAAACAATCTACGTTTTATGAATGATTTCTTGTACTAGAAGTTAAATGGCATAATAAATAAGCATGCATTTTAATTTTACCTCAGCTAGCATCATGTTCTCTAACTTTAAATATGCATAGAATATCTAAATATTTAAATTTGTATAAAATTGAATAAGTAGACATACAGGTCCTACATGACATACTACATACGGAATGCCATGTAGACGCAAATTGATCTAATAGCATGACATATTATATGTCTACTTATTTAACTTTACACGTTATTATATGTCTACTTATTTAACTTTACACGTTAAAAGATTGATTTAAATATTATCTCAATTTAAATTAGTTGACAAAAAACATCTGCGTTTGGGACATGCATGTAGGGGTGCTTGTGGTTATGGCAATTTGTATAGCCAAGGATATTGATTTGGCTGAGCTAGCCTTCTTGTATATAGCTCAATACAGAGCAGGAATTGTCCCTGTTTCTTCCGAAGATGAACTTTTATTTATTTATTTTTTTATAAAAGGAGGTCAAATATTTTGACAAGGAATTTCTTTTTTTTTCGTTACCACTCAGCTCATTGAAAATAAGGAAATTTTTCAAAATGTTAATATTTTAACATTTAAGAGGGCTCATTAGCAACACTTTTAATATTTAGTAAAAATGTCAAAATTTAAATTTATTATGTATCTTATTTATGTTTTTATTATTTGTTTTTATTCAAAGAATAGAATTATTTAATAACAAAAGGGAGAAAATCAAAGGAGATAATATTTAGAAATGTCACGACCCAAATCCGGGCCGCGACTGGCACCCACACTTACCCTCCTATGTGAGCGAACCAACCAATCTAAACCTTAACATTTCAATATAATATAAACAGAAAGTAATGCAGAAGACTTAAACTCATAAATAAAATCAATAACTATTACTATCCCCAAAATCTGGAAGTCATCACCACAAGAACATCTACGATCAAATGACTAAACTAAGAGTATTCTAAAAGCTAAAAATACATAAAAAGCTAGTCCATGCCGGAAGTTCAAGGCATCAAGACTTGAAGAAGAAGATCCAGTCCAAGCTAGAAGCATTAGCTCACCCTGAATTTCTGGTGTAGTAAGACTGACTTGAATTACTGTTAAGTCGAAGGCGACGGCACGTTTGCTGCACTCCACAAATAAACAAGAAGAAAACATAAAAGTAGGGGTCAGTACAAAACACGGGTACTGAGTAGATATCATTGGCCAACTCAAAATTGAAAACAGTATATATCAGATAATATCATAAAATCAACTAATATCCTTAGCATGCAGCATTTACAATTACCATAGCCCTTGGTTACAACACCAAGCTCATCAATGAGGACTCACGCCTCCTCATCATACTCATTTGGGAATTAGGTTCATTAGATTGAATATATTAACATCTTTCAAGATTCTTTATCTTTATTCCCCTCGTGTCGGTACGTGACACTCCGATCCTCATATACTATCCTGGTACCGGATT